TGGCCATGTTAAATTGCTAATATATCAAACCTCGTACAAATCGAATTATTTTTATATATATATTTTTTTATTTTGATTTTCTAAATTGTAACCCCCATTTTATACTGATTTTCACCTCACCAACAATGATTTAAATTCGACACGTCGATTATTCTAATTGGATAAGGGACACCTAATGAACTTTCGTCTTCATTCATACCAGAAAGTCAAAGTGGTTTTAGGTGCACGGTTTTTCATAACTTTTTTTAAAATAAAGAGTAAATTACAACCACCGCTGAGGTCAGACCCGGTTACGAGGGAAAACGAGAAAGGCAGTCGGTCGCCCTTAGAAATATAGTCCATATATATTAGTATTTATTGATTATATATTTAGAAAAGAGAAATAAAAGAAGAATTATGATGAAGATTCGTCAAGTTTTTGTGTTCGATTCTCTGCTATGATCTTGTTCTAAGATTGCGGAAAAAATGTCTAGATTTCGTCTTTGATGTTATCTTATGTAGGTGTAATTAAGACTTAGTAATATATAGGCGTTTTCTTGTGCAATTAAAATTTCTATAATGCGCAGTCGAGGAACTTCGGACGGCCGTCTCAACCTGCTATTAAACTTTTTTCCTTTCGAGACGGCCATCGGAGAATCAACTGAAATCTTCAGACGATCGTCTCAATTCTATTTTTGGACTGCGGCCGATTGTCTTCCCTCCTTGCCTCTTTTTTACCGTTCCATCATCTAGACTCTCGATTCTTCAATTTGTACCTAAAATACAATAACAAAGTCATTAAGCATCATTCAATCAATAAAATTTCACAAAAATCCTCATAAGAAAATATAAATTGAGTATAAAACCTACACTCAACACCTTTTAAGTAACTCCAAGTTTTGCAACCTACTTTGTTTACTTCAAACAAAAAAAGAGACAATGTTGCCCCTGCCCGTTTCAAAGATCTGCATAGTTCGCCTTGGGCTCCTGAATTCCTATGAGCGGCCCTGCCTTGAGGTATGGTCAAATTACAAAAAAATCCCTCTTGTTTGGATAATTACATCTACCCCTCAACTATGAATTTTCTTACACGTCTACCTTTATGGTGTCAAATTGAACATAATATTCTAGATTCCGTGAAATATTCTCTAGTTTGTACTTGTTTTGTGGCAAAATGCAGTTTCTGATGCACTACAATCTGATATTTACAAGCCAAAAAACACATCTTATAATCATCTTGCTTCTAAATGTGGAGCTCGAACGGGTACAAAATTGAGAATATTCCATATAATTTAGAAGATTCCTCTAAATTTGACACCACAAGGGTGGACGTGTAAGAAGATTTATAGTTGAGGGTGGTTGTAATTATCCAAACATGATGGATTTTTTCATAATTTGACCATATCTCAGGGGTTGGTTGTAATTTACCCTAAAATAAATTGCTGAATTTCAAATTTTTTTTTCCATATATAGCTTTTGTTTTTGAAAATAAATATTAAAATAATTTTCATATCCCTATTCTTTTATTTATTCCAAATTAAACCAATCAAAAACATTTTATTAATATTTACATGAGTTTTGATAACACTAAGAAGTGATATTAGTCGCTATCGCAATCAACCGGGCAGAAACACAACCCGGCTGTTCCTTCGAACTCGGTACAAAATCCGTCGTGCTCTTTGTGAAAATAT